GGAGGTTGATTGCTTGGAACTTCCAAAGCCTCCCAAAGGTTTGGGTCTTTGAAGGAAAGGCTGAGGTTTTGGGAGGGCCCATGTGCCAGCTGGAAGGGCCCTCAGCCAGCTCCCTCCTCCCACTCCAGCCCCAGGGAGAGCCTAACTCCCTGCTGGCCAGACCTGCTGGGCCCTGGGATGGGGGCAGACTTTCACCCTAGCAGCCCCTGCCAAAGGGACATTTTGGTGTTCCCTGCCATGCAGTGTCAGATGCTGAGGCCTGGCAGTGGCCCTGAAGCAGAAATAAGCCAAATGCACATGAAAAATGGTGACTGCCCAAGACACTCTTAGTTATACCGGCACAGGGTTGTCATTCTCAGGGGGTAGATTTGTGATTGCTTAGGAAGAGAGAGTGAAGGGCTGTTGAGGCTCCTTGCCAGGGTGGAACAGCAGGTGGGAGGAGGAGGCAAGGGTCCCGAGGCAGGGGGTAGGGGCTTGGCACCTGCAGCTAGGGGCTACCGGTACCTTCATGTTTATTTCCAGAGTGTGGGATGCTCTGGGGAGGGTGGGGCACATGGTGCTGGCAGCCTCTACCCAGTAGTGTGTGTGTTGGGGGCGAGAGTGGGGCGGGGAAGGGCAAGGGCCCAAGCACCTGTGGTGAGGCCCAAACAGGAATCTGCCCTAAAGGTGGCCGAAGCGGCCCACCTGTAAGAGAGCCCTGCTCCCAAAGGCAAAGGGCCAGCCCAGCGAGGTGACCTCCCAGACATGGGCAAGCCAGGCTGAACCTAGCCACAGCAGGAGATGTGAGGGAAAGTGGTGGTAATGAACAGTGGTAGGACAAGTGGGTGCAGACAGGGCACAGTGAATGCGGGGTGGGCCCAGTGGCCAGGTCCCATCCCTCAGAAGGCAAAGTAGCACTCGTTGGGGTGGCCCACATGGTCCAGGCAGGTACATTGGCTCATGGGCAGGGGTCCACACATCTGCACCACCAGCTCCTCCTCCAGGGATGGAAGGTGGTCCTGGATCATCTCCCCACTCATGAAGCCCTGGCTGTATTCCCAGGCTTCAGGGGCTCTGTCCACCATGTACCAGAGCTTGAAGCATGCAGAATGTTTGTTCCTCAGTTTCTCCAGCTTGGGCTGCTGCACGATGTCCTTGGTCTGGTTGGCAAACAGCAGGTGACACATGGTACGATCACTGGGGTCCTTCATGATGGCATGAATCACCTGCAGCATTGAGGTGATGCCGGTCCCTCCAGCGATCATGCTCACAGCAGCATCTTGAAGACAGAGTTGGATTTCTTGTCCAGATAGAGGGCAAACTTTGCTTTGCCCTGGTAGACCAGCAGCCCATTGGAGCCCCAGCACTCAAATGGTGTCTCCAGTCTTCATGCTTTCCATGTACTGGGACATCTTTCCTTCAGAGGGAAATGTGGGATGGGTGTCTTTAAAGTAAACCTTGATGACCAGGTCCACAAAGCCCTGGCCGTCATCACTGGAAACAGGCGTGTAGGGTGAAAGGACCAGGTTCCTGTTGATTCAAGCAGAGAGGTAGATGTGCTGGCTGACGGGGAGGCCCCGGATGTGCTGGGGTGACGCCAGAGCAAAGCAGAACCTCCGAGTATCCTGGCTGATGACCTCCTTGACGAGCCACAGCGGGTACTTGATGTCCCAACTCTGGAGCATGATGGCCGGAGTGGAGCGGTGGGACAGCTTCCCGAGGAGGCTGCACGGGAGCCGGACTGCGGAGAGGACCACGTAGCCCAGTGTGCCCAGCTGGGCCCCCATATTGGCACCACTCAGCATTCGCTCCACAGCCGCCGCCAGCAAGACCCGCAAAGATGTACTTTTAAGCTCAGTTATTTTCCATAGAAATTTTTTTTATTAATCACTTAAAATATGAAATTTAAAAAGTGATGTCCAGTTTCAACTGGAAGAATTGCATCAGTATGTGTGTGTGTGTGTGTGTATGTGCGCACATATACACACTCAGACTTTTCAGTCACATCTGACTCTTTATGAGGCTATGGACTATAGCCCGCCAGGCTCCTCAGTCCATGGGATTCTCCAGGCAAGAACACTGGAGTGGGTTGCCATTTCCTTTCCCAGGGGATCTTCCCCACTTAGGGATGGAACCCACGTCTCCTGTGTCTCCTGCATTGCAGGCAGATTCTTTACCCTCTGAGCCACAAGGGAAGCCCCATCATTGTCTATGCTTATTCCAATTATCCAAAAAATTTGTTGTAATATGGCTATTAATTCCCACCTTCCCTAACATCAGTCAGTTGTTCTTGCAAACTAATCAGAAAGTGTTAACAATCAGTAAGTTTAAAATTTACTAAAACTCTCCACTGAGAAATTTTAAATCAGATGAGAAAAGTGTTTGCTGGCTTTTTTAAGTGTGAACTTAAAAGAGTTACTTCATCTTCTTCAGCAACAAAACCACATAATGATGGAATGATTTCCAATAGCCAGTTTTCAAAATGCCCTTTGCAGAGCATGCGTGTCTTTGGAAAAGCAGTTAGTTCTCACTTCTTAAGAGAAAAATACTATTATGTCTTCAAAGGGACATATTTTGTGTTTGTTTTTCAACATCTGTAAAGTAGCTTACTAGTGAAAGCCTTTTGTTATCACAGAAAAAACAGACACCCAACTGTTTTTAAAAGAAAAATACATCAACTAATCAGTAAATGAGCAAAAAATGAGAGGAATCCCTCTCGATGATTTCAGGACTTCCAGCTACAGTGGTACTGACTGTGTGGTACTGGTAGAGAGATAGACACATTGATCAATGAAACAAAAAGGAGAACCCAGAAATAGTTCCATGAAACTACAACCACCTGATTTTTGACAAGGTATAAAAGCAACTCAGTGAAGGAAGAATGGTCTTTTCCAGCAGTTTATTCTGAAATTCACAAACAAAAAGAAAATCTGAACCTCATGCTTTATGCAAAAACTAACCAACTCAAATAAATCACATATTTTAATGTAAAGTGCAAAACATAACTTTAGAAGATAACATAGAGAATAAATTCAAGACTTACGTCTCAATGAAGAGTTCTTAGACATGACACCAAAAGCATGACTCATAAAAGGAAAAAACTGATAAACTAGACCTCATCGAAACTAAAAACTTTTGCTCTGTGAAAGACTCTGCTAAGACAATGAAAACATAAGCTATGGACTGAGAGAATATCTGTAAACTACATATTCTATAAAGGACTAGGTCTGGGATATGTAAAGAAGTCTCAAAATTCAATAGTTAAAAAAAACCTAATTAGATAGTGGGCAAAATTCATGAACAGATATTTCACTGAAGAGGATACAGAAATGGCAAATAAGCACATGAAGAGATGTTTAACATCATTAGCCACTAGGGAAAATGCAAGGTAAGACCATGATGAGATCACACACATGTGAGCACAGCTAAAATTAAAAATAGAGACTGGACTTCCCTGGTGGTCCAGTGGTTAAGAATCCACCTGCCAACTTAGGGGACACAGGTTCGATCCCTGGTCCAGGGAGATTGCACATGCTGCAGGGCAGCTAAGCCCGTGTGCCACAACTACGGAAGCCTGCATTCCTAGAGCCCGAGCTCTACAACGAGAAAAGCCGCTGCAATGAGAAGCCCGCACACCACAGCTAGAGTAGCCCCCACTCGCCACAACTAGAGAAAGTCTGAGTGCACCAACAAAGACCCAGCTCAGCCAAAAATAAATAAATGTTTTAAAAAATAGTGACAACACCAAATGCTGGTGAGGATGTTTAAAACTGAATTGCTTACACAGTACTGGGAGGAAAGTGAAATGGAACAGCCATTCTGGAAAACATTTTGGCTGGTTCTTAAAGAAACTAAATATGCAACTACCATACAACTCAACCAACTTGCTCTTGGGCATTTATCCTAGAGAAATGAAGACTCAAGTTCACAAAACTATACTTGCGTTTTTAAAAACCTGTACACAAATGCTTACTGGAACTTTATTTGTAATAACCAAAAACTGGAAACAATACAAATATCCTCCAGTGAGTGAACAATTAAACTAGTGGTAGTATTCCATCTGTACCATCAAATACTACCCAGCAATAAAAATGACTTAACTATTGATATATGCAACAACCTACATGACTCTCCAGAGACTTATGCTGAGTGAAGAAAGTTAATCCTAAATGGCTATACACTGTATTATTCCATTTATATAAATTCCATTTATATTCTATTTTTTTCCATTTATATTGAAATGAGAAAATTATAGATACAGAGAACAGATTAGTGGAGTTGCCAGGGGATGGAAGAAAAAGGGGTATGGCTATAAAAGTGAAACTGTGAGGAATCTTTGTGATGTTGGAAATATTTTGTACTTTGTATCAGTGTGGACATCCTGATTAGAATACTGTACTGTGGTTTTGTCAGCTGTTATCATTGGGGGTAACTAGTTAAAGGGTATATGAGACCTATAGGTATTTCTTAGTGTGAATTTATGGTTATCTCAAAAAGTTTAATTTTTTAAAGTTTCTAATAAATAAATGGATAGATAGGAATTCTTTATATTTCCTGCCCACACCCTAATGAATTTTTGGCATACTCAATTTGAGAGATCATTGGCATATGCTGCTAGTCCCAGGATGCTTGTTCCTACCCAGTCTTTGGGTTCCTTTAGCTATTCTCAATGTTCTCTTGAAGTTATCTTTCTTAAATGCAAATTTGATCACGTTATTTCCCCAAATCATTAGTCTTGGGACATAAGGACCTTCTGGCTTTATCCTTTATCCAGTATATACACCTGAACACCAAACTACTCACAGTTTCCAATTGTGCAGAACTCTGACTCTGAGGTACCTGAGAATGGGCACAAAGACCTCTTGATTTGCTTATCTCTAGTTAACTAACTTCTAAACTTACCAGGTGCCCTAGCATATATTAAGAATGCCACAAATCTTGATTTAAAAGTTTATTACCTTTGCTTATTAACTCCTAAGAGTCCGAAGATGTTGATTCTGTGTTATATTTGGAACACTAACCTGCTATCACTCCTGCCAGGTACACCAGCCCCACTCGGAGGCCTTTGTGGACCATTTCCAAGGGGATACCCAGACTCAGCTGCATGATAAGATTCCCCAGGATGTGCTGAACTCTGCGGAGACAAACACCATTGTCAAACATTATGACTAGCACAGGCAGTTATTTCCTTGGGAGGTTAACAGGCATTGATATGTTGTTTCCAGTTAAGAACATGCTTAATGTGAATTCCATTTTCTAATTTTTTTAGGTGACTTTTTAAAGAGATAAAATCTTACATGGAGCTTCAATATGTGAAGCAGATAAAAGGACATTTTAGAAATATACATTTACTTTATAAGTTTTGTTTTACAATAATTACTGATAATGTCAAACAGAGCAGTGAGGAAGCTTCAAGGAATGGAATATAAGCTTGCAATTATGGGTTTAGCTGACAGTTGCCATCACATGTCAGCCTCAGCACTTGATTTTGTTTTAGTTGCACAGTAATATTGAGAGAATACTAATTCACTCATATGGAGTTGAAATTTCAATAGGTTTTTAAACATCTCTTGCAAGCTCAGAGTAGTCTTTAATAAAACAGAGGGGGTGGGACTTCCCAGGTGATCCAGTGGCTAAGATTGCCCTCGCTCCTAATGCAGGAGGCCTGGATTTGATCCCTGATCAGGAAACTAGATCCCACATGCCACAGCTAAGACCTGGCACAGCCAAAGAAATAAATAAAACAGATATGGCAGGAGAAACCTCATTCCCATTCCCAGTTCTGTATTTAAAAGGTTTTAAGTTTACCAGAATGGGGAAAAAAAAAATGTTTACTAGTAACACTAGCTAAACTTGGTTTCTCTCACATAAATATACTATAAATTGGTATATAACATTGTTGAGTAGAAATGCTTTTTATTATAGTTTATAAACATGGAAAAATATTTTTAAGTGAAATTGACATTATTTTGCTTGTCAAGCCCCACAAGCATCTATGGAAACTCTCTGAATGTCATTTGGCAAATTTCCATATAACAGTAATCCTTAATTTAGTTGCTATGTAGCAAAATGCTTTAGTTTTTTTGAGGGGGCATGGTGAATCAGAATTCTGAGTGAGGTCATAAAAGGCTATTAGCACTTAAGAGACTGTAAGCAAAACTAAAAGGCAGGCACTGCATCACCTATTGCTTGTATTATTCTAAATAAACTATTTTACACCCATCAAAATGTTGATGAATTACGTTTTTTAACTTTGGCAGAGGTGGGGAGGAAGGCACTGGCAATTCACATTTTAAAGGGAACATTTAACACCACACAACTTGGACACAGTTCTAGTTTGGTGATAATTTGGTCTCTTCTCATTTATTTTCCTACATAAATACCAATAGTAGGCAGTTACAATACAATACAAAGTGCACTGGACTTGGAGTTAGCACTAATGGGTTGAGATCTCACTCTACATCCGGTAAGCCTCACATAAAACAGCACAAGCAGTTCTTGCCTAGTCCAAGGGTTGCATCAAATAAGATTATGGATGTAAAACTACCTGATCAATAATATACCACCTATATAGCACAGGGAACTGTGCTCAATATTCTGTAACAACCTCATTGGGAAAAGAATTTGAAAAAGAATAAATACATGTACATGTATAACTGAATCACTTTGTTGTACACGTGAAACTAACACATCATTGTTAATCAACTATAGTCCAATATAAAATAAAAAGTTAATAAAGTACCCAACAAATGTTCAGGGTTATGGTTACTTACAGTCACCTTTGACATCAGTGACTCAACTGTCATTCCTTACCCAGCATGAACCAGCATGTATGAGATAAATCTCCAGGCTTCCTCCCGCTTCTCAGGACGGTAGATAAAAGGACTCTCCAAGATGCCCGTGTCCAAGGTGATCCACTGTTTCTGAGGCTTCCATACAGCATAGTAAATAAATAGTGCCAGCTGACAGGAAGGGGCAGACACTAAAGTTAACTATACCTGCTGCAGAAAGCGGCCCCATTAAAGCCCACGGGCACGACCTCTGTTTGAAACAATTTGCTCTTAAGAGGGCCGCTCCACAGCATGTGCTCAGATGGCAGGAATTCAATTCCCTGTTGTATATCTGGACCATATAACTGTAGGCATCTCCTACTTCTTCCAGCAATTAGGAGCAGCCCTAGACCAAACTTCAAAGAATCTTTCTTACACCCACTTTCCCCTCCTCCTCTGCCCTCCTCTTCCCACCTTCACCATTTGATCATTCATTTACAACTTAATATGAAATTAGGTCACTGCTGGCTTCTGAAAAATAGAGGAGGGAAAGGGAAAAATAGTAACTTGACAGTGGGAAAACCTGGCAAACACGACCTTAACCAAGTGATGAAGGCTCATGTCACAGGGATGTTGTGGGGATGCCCCCCACTCCCTAATGTGGTGTGATGAGAAGCGTTCTTCACTTCTGTGGTCTTCCTCCCCCAAACTCATAACTCCAGTCTAACCATGAGAAAAAATATCAGACAAACCCAGACAGAGGGACATTGTATAGGATACCTGGGCAGTACACCTCGAGACGATCAAAACCATGGAAAGCAAAGACAGAGAGGGTCAGAGATCAGAGTAGACTGGGGAGATGTGACAACTAAACACAGTGTGATACCCTGGGTTCGAAAGTACAAAAGGCACAGAAAGAGGTTACTGATAGAAAAACTGGTAAAATTCAAATTAAGCCTGGAGTTTAGTTAATACTAATATATCAATATGAGTTTCCCAGTTTTGACAAATGTAAAACTATGGAAATGTAAGATATTCACATTGGGAGAAATTGGGTAAGGGGCATAAGGAACTCTCTTACTAGTTCTATAACTTTTCTATAAAGTTAAAATTACTCCAAAATAAAAAATTTTTGGCGGCACCACTCAGTCTGCAGGATTTTAGTTTCTTGACCAGGGATTGAACCCAGGCCCCTGCAGTAAAAATATCGAATTCTAACCTCTGAACTGCCAGGGAATTCTCCCTTTTCTTTTTTTAATGTACGGTCTATCACCTCCAGCAAAATATTGAGTAGAAATGGTGATAATGGGCATTCTTGTCTTATTTCTGATTCTAAAGGAAAAAATGACTTTAACATTTCACTGTTTGTAGTATTAAGCCCCTAAGATGGTCCTCAAGGGTCCTTACCACTTAATATTCACACCCTTGAATAGTTTCCTCCTTCAATGAATCAGGGCTGGTTTCTGTGTCTGCCCCAACCAAAACAGCATTGACAAAAGCTTCTTTCAGGAACACCACATTTTGGCCTTATCTTTATATAAACCATAAGAGGCCAGGTCCCTATGATAGATAGTTAAATGTATATGTCAAAGTAACTAAACCACAGTATTTGGTCAAATATCATCCTACATGTTTCTGTGACTTTGAATAAAGCAGACTACCCTCCGTGATGTGGGCCAGCTCGTATCAGTTGAAGGCTTAATAGAACAAACATTCCTTGAGCAAGAAGGAATTGTGCCAACAAGTGGCCTTTGGACTTCAGCTTACCCCCAGGTTGCTAGTCTGCTGGCCCACCCTGTAGATATTAAATTTGCCAAGCCTCCACAATTACATGAGCCAATTCCTTAGAATAAATCGATCTCTCTCTCTCTCCACATATGTATATAGATAGATGATAGATAGTGTGTGTGTGTGTACATCCTATTGATGCTGCTTCTTTTAAAGAACCCTGACTAATACAGTCCTTGATAAAAAAAAAGTTGAGGCATCAGTGGGAACTAAGAGAATAACATTAGGAACTTCCTAATACTCTTAAGTCGGGGCTTCCCTGGTGGCTCAGAGGGTAAAAAAATCCACCTGCAATGCAGGAGACCTGAGTTCAATCTCTGGATCCAGAACTCCCCTAGAGAAAGGAATGGAAACCCACTCCAGTATTCTTGCCTGGAGAATTCCATGGAGAGAGGAGCCTGGCAGGCTGCAGTCCACGGGGTCACAAAGAGTCAGACACGACTGAATAACGCGCGCGCGTGCGCGTGCGCGTGCACACACACACACACACACACACACACACACATGCTCAAAGCTCCTAAGTCACATCCCACAGGCAGCCGTCCTCTGTCAGTTCCTTTATGAGGCATCATGGTGTGGGAGAAAAAGATGGGTGAGATAAGGCTCAGGAGAAGCCCAGTCCTGGTCAAATAACTAAGTATGTGGCCTTGGGCAAGTCACCCCACTCTTTTCTGGAAAACAAAACAGCTGACTGCACCAGAGTCTGATACTCACTGCATGCTGCCCAGAGCCAACATCATTAGAAGATCCCAGTCCCATTTTTTCCTACTGAAATCTGGAGGCAACCTATAGCTCTTTTAAACATACAGCTCCGATAGACCTTACCAATCAATCACAGTTGGTTCTTGCGATCAAACCAATTGGAAACCCAGAGATTATTTGATCTCTAAAGCCCCCACCAACTAAAATGAAATGAAGCCACTGCAATTGTGGTCACTGCTGGGCAGAGGAGTTGTTTGAAAAATAACTCAACACTTGACTGAAAGTGCCTGGGAAGGCAGGAAGAACCCGGGAAGGGGCCTCTGAGGAGGACGAAGTCGGGTTCAGTGTGTGCTGTACTTGCCACCCCCAAGCTCTCTGCATGTTTCCCAGTCTTTCCTCTAGAGCTGATCTGAAGCCCCAGTGATCGGCAGCCCCCCAGGAGTCCTCGCGCCAGTGCACACCACCCGGCATGTTTACCTCGGCGATGCTGATGGAGATGATGAACACAGGGGGCGGGAGGCAGTTGGCTCTTTCCAGGTATGTTCTTCGCACCGGTTCAGGAAGCATCCATTTTGAGACAATCCTGTGGACCTTTCTAGGCTTGAAGGGGTCTTTATCTGCCCCGCCCTCTCTCACTTCCTCCTCTTCCAGCTCTTCCTTCATCTCTCTATCCATATTCAGATTCACGTCCTCCTCTATCTCCAAATGGTGAGCAGCAGCCATTGTCCTGGGTCGTCCTCCACCTGAAAGGAACAAGACTGTCAGGGGAAACAGACGGCCCTATAGTCTTCGGGCCGTAGCTCTGTCCTGGGCGCTCTGGCACAACCACTGGTTTCCAGTGCCTTCCCCGTGAGTCAGTAGAAGGTGGCTGAAGATCTGTTGCCCAAATACACGTAATATCCATACCCTCACCATCTGGGTATAATTGTGAGGAAGTAGTTAGCTCTCCCCAGCTGAGGAGGAGGACTCCCCAGAAGTCACTTATGGAATTGCCTACTGTCGGCACCCAAAGGGCAGACCGGAGCTTGGGACGGCAGCTCTCCCTCATATACCCTTTCCTTGCCCCCTGCCACTGACTCCCAAGGCAGTCGTTACTGTAAGAGAACTTTGCCACAAGGCGATGCATCTCAGAGTCTAAGCCACGCACATGCGTAACCGAATTCAGTGTTGACTAGTCTCCTCTCAACTCTTAGTTTCATCTTGCTTCTACTCCCGAGCCAAACACCGGTTTGGCTCTGGTTTCTGATTCCGAATCAAAAATTATTTAATGAGCATCGACTATGTATCAGGTACTATGCTGAGAGGTACTATGTATCAGGCACCCATTTTAGTTTAAAAAATTCCCCTCCCCTCATAAAAGATTTAAAGCCACATCTTCTCTTTCTAAATCATCAGTGTCCTTTCTAACATGCCACCGCTGCCGTTGTGGCACATAAGTTAAGTGGGCCATTGCTCCCTGGTCCTCCAGGGGCAGCGCTGCAACTCTCGCTAAAACACATCTTCCCAACAACTCTTTGACATCTGACACTCTTGGCTGAGTTCCTACTAATTTCTACACCCAGTATCCCCTTGAACTCAATCCTCAATATCCAAACACTCAAGCATTTATGCAACATATGTTGAACACCTACTATGTATCAGGCGACCGTTCCTATCCCAGTGTTTACAATGTCATGGAGGAGGCTGAGGTCAAGAAAATCACACAAATAATTGTGTAATTACAGCTGTGCTAAGAGACACCATGCAGCTGCAGAAGTCACTGAGGCAGCGTGTCTGCAGCAGCGAGGCCCGGACCACATACTGCCTCCTCTCCAGGTGTCATGGTGCTAGCTGCACCGTCTTTCTCCTTTTGGTTTAGTTCTGTTATATTTTACTCCTGGTTGCACTATTTAATCAAGTATTTTCATAGTCAAAAAATGGATTCTCCAGGCAAGAGTACTAGAGTGGGTTGCTGTGACCTCCCCTGGGGGATCTTCCCAACCCAGGGATCGAACTCGGGTCTTCTGCATTGCAGGCAGATTCTTTACCACTGAACCACCAGGGGAGCCCCTGGCAGGGATGGGGGAGGCTCAAATACATTAAAGGAAAAAAATAATGTTGCCAGACACTACATAGAGTACAATCTATTTTTTTTTAAAGTAATGTACTGATACACAGGGAAAAAATCTGGAGAATTAACCATGATGATATTTGCATGATGGGATTTCACTAGATTTTTGCCCTTTATGTAGGAGTGGGTCCATATTTTGTGTATGCTGAAGCTTAAACAATATGGGGGAGGGGTGTTCTTTGGAAAAAATAACAAAATTAAAGTTGTAAAATAGAAAAACTATGAAAGTACTTAGAGTGATTTAGAAGAAGCCTGTGTAAGTGGACATCTGAAGCTTAAGCTTTGTTAGTATCGCAGATAACCCAGCCAAAACAATCTTAAAAAAGAAGACCAAAACAGGACGTACCACATTCTCTGATTTCAAACTATAATTTAAAAAACTACAGTAACCAAAACAGTATGGTACTGTCACAAAAACATATACAGAGCAAAGGAATTGAATAGAGGCCAGAAATGAACTCACACCTATATGGGCAATTAACCTATGACAAAGGAAGCAAGAATATACAATGGGGGAACGATAGCATCACACCACATACAAAAATAAACTCAAAATGGATTAAAGACTAAAATGTAAGACCTGAAACCATAAAACTTCTAGAAGAAAACACAGGCAGTCTGCTCCTTGACATCACTCTTAGCAATATTTTTTCTGGATATGTCTCCTCAGGAAAGGGAAACAAAAGCAAAAAAAAACAAATGGGACTATATCATGCTAAAAAGCTTTTGCACAGCAAAGAAAACTACCAACAAAAGGAAAAGGCTGCCTACTGAAAGGGAGGAGACATTTGCAAATGATAGATCTGACAAGGAGTTAATATCCAAAATATACAAAGAACTCATAATACAACCCAACATAAAAAACAAACAACCCAATGGAAAAATAGACAGAGGCCCTGAATATATATTTTTCCTATAAAGAAGACATACAGATGGCCAATAGACACATGAAAAGATGCAAATTACTAATCATCAGGGAAACACAATCAGAATCACAACGAGGGGAATTTCCTGGCATCTCAGCGGTTAAGACTCCACATTTTTCACTGCTGTGGCCCAGGTTCAATCCCTGGTCGGGAAACTAGACCCAACAAGTCATGCAGTGCAGCCAAAAATAAACAAACAAACAAAAATCAAAACACAATGAGAATCACTTCACACCTGACAGAGTGGCTGTTATCAAGAAAGACGACATAACGAGTGTTGGCCAGGATGCTGAGAAAAGAGAGCCTTCATGCACTGTTGGTAGAAATGTACATTGGTACAGCCACTATGGAAAATAGTACATGGTAGTGGTTTAGTTGCCAAGTTGTGTCCAACTCTTGAGACCCTTGGACTGTAGCCTGCCAGGCTCCTTTGTCCACAGAATTTCCCAGGCAAGAATACTGGAGTAGGTTGCCATTTCCTTCTCCAGGGGATCTTCCTGACCCAGGGATCAAATCAGAGTCTCCTGCTCTGCAAGTGGTTTCTTTACCAACTGAGCCACGAGGGAAGTCCTTGGAAAACAATATATGGATTCCTCAAAGAAAAGTAGAATTACCATTAGATCCAGAAATTCCATTTCTAGGCACTTATCCAAAGAAAATGAAAAGGTACCTCTATGTTAAATGCTAAATTATTTACAGTAGCTAAGATATGGAAGCAATCTAAGTGCCCATCAATAGATGAATGGGTAAAGAATATGTGGTATGCATACACATGCACACACACACACAGGAATATTTCTCAGCCATGAAAAAGAATAAAATCTTGCTATGCAACAATACGGATGGACTGAAAGGGCATTATGCTAAGAGAAATGAGTCAAGCAGAGAAAGACAAATACTGTATGATTTCATCTATATGGGTAATCTATAAAACACGTGAACAAACACAACCAAACAGAAAGAGAGTCATAGATACAGAGAACAAACAGGTTTTTGCCAGAGAGGAGGAGGTTGGGAGGAGGTAAGAAAAAGATGGGAGATAAAGAGGTACATTTTAGTTACAAAATAAATGTCACAGGAATAAAATGTAGTGTGGGGAATACAGTCAATAATTGTGTAATAGCTATGTATGGTGACAGGTGACAACTAGACTTTTCATGGTGATCATATTGAAATGTATAGAAATAACAAATCACTATGCTGTATACCAGGAATAACAGTGTTGTGGGTCAAGTATTTCAAAAACAAATAAAGTCATAGAAAAAAAGATCAGCCACATCAGATATATGAGTACCAAAGGTGGGGGTGGGAAGGGGAATTAGATGAAGGTAGTCAAAAGGTACAAATTCCTGCTGCTGCTGCTCATTCAGTTGTGTCCGACTCTTTGCGATCTCATTGCCTGTAGCCTGCCAGGCTCCTCTATCCATGAAATTCTCCCAGAAAGAATACTGGAGTGGGGTGTCATTTACTCTTCCAGGGGGATCTTCCCAGCCCAGGGGTCGAACCCACATGTCTTACCTCTCCTGTAGTTATAAGATACATATGTACTAGGGATGTAACACTACAACATCATAAAGATAATTAACACTGCTGTACATTATAAATGAAAGTTGTTAGAATAAATCCCAATAGTTCTCATCATGAAGAAAAAAATTTTTTTTCTATTTCTTTAATGTGTCTATATGAAAATGATGGATGCTCACTAAATGTACTGTGGTAATCATTTCATGATATACGTAAGTTGTACAACAATCATTATGTTGTACACCTTGAACTTAATATATATATATATATATATATATATAATAAAAACAGAGCCATCTGTATGAGACCTTTGCTGGACCCTAAAGTCTCAAGCACTGTACTATTTCTTCCCTTCCCTTGTGGGTCAATGTCTGAAGGATGAGTTTGTACCCACTAAACACCTTGTCATCTGCAACCCCGATCGAAACTGCTCTGCTAAGTTATGCCCTTTAAACAAATCCACTTCTGTTGTAATGTGAATTCTAACAAAGTGTGCAGAGCAGCCCAGTCTCTTCAAAGCACATCGTCATGCAAATCTCAGGTACTCTTTTGAACAATCTGGGAAGAAAAGGCAAGCAATATTCCCAATTCTCACCTTCCACTTTCCTAACTGAGCTTTCCTGTTGAAAACCCTTCATCCCTGCCTTTCATCCCAACCACATTCCATTGGCTAACTTCTTTTTCCCACTGCCCAGCCTCAGGCATCAACACTGTCCTCCTGCAACTGGCCTTCTCTAACTTGCTGGGAAAGGCAGTGTCAAGGTTGCTAAAGGGCAGGCACACAGGCTGGACAGATCTGAGGAATGGCCATGTCTTATTTTTATATGCCACCCCAGTAAATAGCCCTGGATCTGGGACTATGAACCATAGAACGGGGGCTTCACAGGGTGGGAGGCAGGGGGAGTGGAGAAGTATATGTTTAATGGGCACAGGGTTTCGGTTTGGGAAGATGAAAAAGTTCTGGAGAGGGAGGAAGGTGATGGTTGTACAATGTGAATGCTGTGAATTAATTATACACTTAAAAACAGTTAAAATAGTAAATTTTATGTTATGTGTATTTTACCACACACACAAACTAAATAAAAATATTAAATTTTCAAGGTCACTGGAAAGACTAGATAGAATATACTGTTTGTCATCAGCATGTGCTTAATCAACAGTACCCAATGTTACTGACATTTTC